GGGTGAACGTATGCGCGTGTATATGAACGCTTGTGTCTGTACTGATGTTCAAAAAAAATGCACCTTGCACTTTTTTACCCTGTTGCACTGAAAAATAATCTCTCAATTACATCTGATGTCAGATTTTTTTTATTAAGAATCTGACACTGGTTCCGGATGAAGCACGTGGCAATTAATCGCTTCAGCCTCGCAAATTTTCTTACAAATTTTGCACTACAAGGCTATTTTCCCTCGCAAACATGACAACTCTTACAGACCAGCATCGCAAATTTATCTGTTTTCATATGACAAATTTAAACGCTCGCTGGCAAACGCTAAAATTCTGACGTTAGATTTTAAACATTTAGGTTAAACAAAGTGTAATTTAAATATAAGTCTTTTTAGAGATCCTAATATAAATTACACTAGCACAAAAGCCCGTGCGTTGCAACGGCAGCTGTGTTTTGATTTTTGGTTAAAAAATGGATTTCAGCTAAATTTTGGCCATTTTCGCCTAGGATGGAAAGTACCGAAACCTTTCGGCCGAAAAATATATATTTTAGTCAAATTTCGGCCACATCGCTTCGCGAGTCTCCCTTCCCCATAACTTATAGTTCATTGACCTGTAATGCTGCTAGTATTATAATTATGTTGGTAGAATATTACAATTGTCATAATTAATCAAGCTATTTTAATAAACTAAACTACATTCATTTACTATATCCTTTTTTCAAATAATATATTTTGTAGTGCGGTATCCATAAACAAAATTTGAAATAAGCATGAATGAGTCAACCAATGTCGGTGGACGTGTTGATAGAGTGTCAGGTGTTTTCTGGATGCAATTTAGGAAACAAAAAAATGATATTGAAATTAGAGCACTGATATACACACAATATTTGTCATCCGACTTTAGTACGGCGTTGAAGATCGGACCATAGATACATAGTGATGAAGCATCTCACACTGACATCAGACAATAAAAATGTCCTACACACAACACTTTTTGGGAAGTAATAAATTTACCTAGATGCAATTGTTCCTCCATACAACACCACCTCCAGCATGTCCACCTTCAGGACCTTAAGCATATCATCTTCTTTCTGCTCGAGAACAACCACTTCATTGAGATTAGAATCCATATTTTTGATGCTAACCTGTGTGTGTGTGTATATTAGTCCAATATATATTGTCTAATCCTACTTGAGCTATATGGTTGATGTCTACTTAGTAAGTCTATTTTGTACAAGAGCCCCTCCTATCTGATAGAAAAGGGTCCCATGATCCCGAGCCGATCTTACCTTGGCTTGCAAATCCCAATGTCCTTTTTTTCTCGGCTTTCCCGTCGTAGTTGAGTCCGTGAAGGACGCAAACCCCGATCAACGCTGCTAGCCAGCTGGCGACCCTTCCACGTCGATGGCCCCTTTGAAGGCGCTAACAGTTCGGCCTTGGGATCCCTTTTTTCCTTGAGGTGTCTTGCCGTATCTGTAGGCCTAACTCTTTTCTTTTTCATCCGTATTGTGTAGTCCCTTATTCCTTAATTTCTTCCGGCCATAGCAACAATCCGTGCACGTCCGTTCTCTCATAGGAATCATCCGGCAGCCAGCTTCTGGGTATGTGCAAGTTTTACACGTATATTAACTGGTGTGGTTTGATATAAGAAGTCGAGGTGGTACTAATTCAACATTAGGGAACCCTATGTTAAATCACAAACAAATCCTAGCTCAACCTGCCGCTCATATTAGGTTTGGTGCAGAGGTCGCGAGTTCGATCTTGCTTACTGCCAATTATTTTTTGCGTTGTTTCATACAGTAGATGGGCCCGCAAAGTTGGCCCATAGTAACGACGGACGAAAATCTTGTCCACAGCGGATAGATATAGATACACATGTAAAATAGTACTACCTCGCTTATAGTTTTAAATTTAAACCGAAAACGTAAATTCACATAAAAAAAGCGTATTGTGACGGTGAACCTACGGAGTCAATCCGTGCTTTATTATTATTAGGGAGGGATATAAAGCAAAAAAAGTGAATCTACAGTCTAAACTATTTCTATATACATCCGTACATTCCTCTCCGTTTATTCAAAATGTTTTATCATTTAAACCGTGCGTCCAAATCTCGAACTGTCTTCATCGTTAGATTCCTCGCGTCGAGATCTTCAAAACTACGAATATTCAAAATGTATTCTTTTTCCTTTCCAAAAAGACACGACTGTGCTTCTTGCGGAAGCAAATATATGCCTCCATGACAAGTAAACCCGCACCTCTTTTGAAAGAAAAATCAGTTTCCGAGAGGCACGGTTTGCAAAAGCAAATCCGTGTCTCTCATGGAAGAAAAAAAACACAATTTTTTCCAGTTTCCAATAGGTGCGGAAAGCAAACCCGCGCCTATCACGGAAAAAAAAGAAACACAACTTTTTTCGTTTACGAGAGGCACCCGCGCCTCTTGCGGAAGCAAATTCATGCCTCTCGCGAAGGAAAAAAAAGAAAACATGTTTTTTTTTCGTTTTCCAAGAGGCACGGTTATGCCTCTCGCCGAAGTAAAAAAAAAATGCATTTTTCCGTTTCTGTGCCTCTCGCGAAAGCAAAAAAAAAAACAGTGTTTTTTTCATTTGTTGAAGTTCTTTTTCAAAAGCTAAGGAAGACCGATCAAAAATCGAAAAGCCAAAAAAGCCAAAAAAAACCATCTAAAAAGCTAAAAAAACATCTAAAAAGCCGAAAACACGTGCGAAAAAATAAAAACAAAACAAAATACGAAGGAAGCGTCCCGAATGCGACCCGTGATCGTGGCTTGGAACACGCCAAGTGACGCGCTCTCAGCCCATCCTAATTGACCATTGGGGAGGCTCCTGAAGGAGCACTCCTTCGTTAGTTCCTCCCACCTCCTATATACACAGGGTTCTGCTCGGGTGCAAGGGTCACCGCACATTATATTGTGCAGGCCCAATTGGTGGACTCCACGTATGCTTGTAGGCCCAATTAATTAACGAATTAACATTTTCATGCTTCACCTAATCCTACTTTTAAATTATAAAAAACCAAATCCCTTTTTGCGAGTTGCGTCAACTAGTCCCCTCGTCCTGAACTCTTGATGCTCTCTCCAATTTCATGTTCCATGCAATCTCATGCTCTAGAATGCTCAACGAAACATATGGCAGCGCATGAGGAAGTACCCCGATCAAGACGAATTCCACCGGCCTTACACATGTCATATTCTCGCCAGGTTTGCTAAAATGTTGTCACCCAACCTCCGTGCAATATTATGTATTTGTTTCATGGTCAAGTGCTTAGGGGCATGCAGGGCACTGATGGAGGCTGTCGACCTCGGCACCCACTCTTTGACATTACTGATCAGATGATTCACTACGCGATCCGCATTAGTTCCATGTTTTTCCTTGTTTTTTGCTGTCTATAAAACAGGCCAACAATGTTTTTGAAAAAAATGGTGAAATAAAACAATTTCATGTAAAGAAATGTTCACAAATTTGAAAAAATCTTTGTAGATTTGAAAAAGTGGATGAATTTCTAAAAGGTTCATGAGTTCAATAAAGTTCGTGAATTTGAAAAAAATATTCACATATCTGATAAATTCATGAATCGGAAAAAAGTCCGCACATTTTGAAATATGTTAGCAAATTTAGAAAATAGTTGCCAATTTGAAAAAATAAAACGAAATGAAATGAAATGGAAATGGAAAATATATTTACTCCCTATTATTGTGTTGTTAATAATTATTCACCATTTATTGATTTGTTTATGTCAATTTCTAATTCATATTGAATTGTACATTTGGAATATGATCCCTATGTTTCATGTTATTTGAGTTGTGATCTAAAATTTGAAAATTGAGCAAGGTTCATGCGCAAATTTACTATTCGTTTCAAGTTCTCGTAAGTTAAAAAAATTGAAATTTACCTCAATTTTTGTATGCATGAATGTAGTGCACAATCGCGAAAAAAGTCCCCACTCTCTTCTAAACTACGGGTCATTACATTCTGGCGGTCCCCCATGCTTTACGTGACAAAATCTCAGAAGATCAAACTCAAATATGGTAGACTAGTGTCATAGGTAAATCAACCCACATTAGTGTGAGAGTTAAAGAGTCCCCCACCCTACTAGGTGATAAGTTAGGATGTGTTTGCACATTGGATATCTTCTTAGGGTTGCATGTTGTCACGGACGTTTAACGTCGGGGCGACACTGGCAACTGAAGACATTCCATTGGTGTTAGCCCACCATCAGGTAGACATCGTCTTCTTCTCTAGACACATGTGGTACTGGACACTTATGTATGTATGTATGTATGTATGAATGATGGTTTTATTTTTTTCTTCCAATATTCATAACAAAAAAAGGGGGCGTTGATTTTATATTTCTATGCCATGCTCAGTCGTCAGTCATACAATTCACCAAAACCAAGTGTCGATCTTGGCAGAAAGACATGATGCCAACTTGCCAAGCACGCAATCATTGGCACAAAGTGAGTCTTCAAAACAAGGAGGTACGAGATGTGGTGCAAAATAAAGCTTGACTTATTGCCCAGGGCTTCACACCGGATCAAAGTTTGAACTTTATTTTGATATAAACAATCGTAGCTAGACAATAGGCTTCTAGGATCTCGCTTCACTGTGTTACACATCATAAATACCACATTACACATATCGAATGGATATAAATGTGAACTTGTTTATGTTGAACATGCTTCCGATTTTTATGACTCACAAGATCCTAATCATGTTTTCAAACTTGACTTCACACCAAGATCGCCTTTAATAGTTTCTAGTCAAAAAGGCTTCATGAGTGGTAGGATTGACCACACAACAAATTAATCAATTTCAACTTTTACATGTATATATATTTTCCTTCATCTGCAATTCATAGTGATAGGTACCATAAATTGTGAATCTTATCATGGTCTAATATCGCAAACACACTTCGATTTCAGATAGAAGGATATACATCTAGATATTGTTGGGTGCAGGGGTTGGCGTTTGTTGAATTGTGCACCCTCTCCCTTCTCAAATAGAAATGTGCATATCTCGCGCCCTTAAGCGCTTGTAGAAATCGGTAGTCATGTTTACTCCCTCCTAACACCGAAGGCCATAAAAGGTATTAGCTAAAAAAATACTAAGTATAGAAATTGAACTAAGAAAATTTAAAGTAACAACCTTGAGTGACACTATTGCTTTGTAACCAAGTTGTTCAACAGCATTGTTGCACTTGAATGTTCTATTGAGGGTCACATACTTAATTCTTGTGGATGTTAGCATGCTGGGTTGACGCATTCCATAGTGCGAGAATATATTATTATAGCTCCAGTCTACCACAAATGTTATCGGCTCCAGAAGACATAAAGGTATTCTTAATCTGAAACGGCTGCAAAATAGTTCCATTAGTTAGTTATATGAACAATTATTACTCCTATTAGAAGAAATAAACCATTGTCCTAACGAAAATATATCTTGGTAATGTAACATTATGTTGCCTGATAGCTTAATACATATACACTATAATTATAGGTAACAATGAAGAAATGTGACTATTTACTCTACAAAATGCAAGCCCACATTTACATGTAGCTGTATACATGTACTATGTTCTACAACCAATCCACAACATATAATATGTCCTTAAGTCTCAGTTGTTTTGAATAAATACAGAAGTCGTTTGTGCGTGCAAATGTAGGAACATGTGATGTTGGTGGCATAGGACAATCACTTTATTTTGTTTCATCGAAGCATAATATTATGCATGTTGAAGTAACTTAGATATATTGTTGATAAAAGAGGTTAAAAATGTGAACTATGGAATTGATACAGTACAAGGGAATAGGAAATATCACCTTTTGTATCCAACTTCTTCCAAAACCATGTAAATAAAGTCCCACATATTCACTGGCTCCATATTAGTTATAAAGTAGGTCTGTAAAAATTAAATATGTCAGGAGAATATTAAGGCGAATCACATTTTTCCTGCTCGGCAATAAATGTACATACTTTGCCTCCACTTCTCTTTGCACCGTCTTTGGTAGAAAGGGTTTTCTCGGCACATATATGAGCATGCACCACATTCTCAACATATACAAAATCATCACAATTCTTGCCATCACCAACAATGATCTGCAACAATAAATAATAGGTCATGTGCTTCAAACTAGATTACAATAAATCCAGTTGTATATAAAGTTCTCTTTTGTAAAACTATATGAATTTAGGTAATATTTATGTGTGTACGTGTGTGTGTGTGTGTGTGAGAGAGAGAGAGAGAGAGTGATGAGTGAGTGAGAGAGAGAGAGTGAGTGAGTGAGAGAGAGAGAAAGAGAGAGTCTTTAAATGAAAAAATATATTTGTGTTTTTAAATGAAAAAAACATCACATGACAAGTGTGTATCCTATAATGGAGGCACCCTCCGTTGTTGCACCCATTCTAGTGACATTGCCAAAAATCCCGAATAGGTTTAGTAGTCGTGAGGCCCAGATCCACCACCCCTTGAGATATGTCTTCACCACCAAGTATCCATGGGTTGGTAATCATGGCTTGTTCCACTGCAGCGGGCATAGAGGTGCATCCTCAGGGGTTTTCCTGCAATGGGTGAAGATGACTACGTTTGGTAGCACTAGCAGGACGGAATGGGGTGTGTCTAAGTTTGTATGTGAGGAAATATCAGGTGCTCTCATTCTTGGGGTACTCCCAATGCTCCAACTTAAATAAAACAGTTTTAAGTATTTCAAAAAATTCTAAAAAAACATGAATGTTCCAAAGAAATGTAACTACAACTTCTAAAGATCTCAGGTCCAAACTCTAAATGAACATTCAGAAACAAAAATATGAAATCTAGCCTGAATAGTGTCATAAAAAGACAAAAACAACATTTGACACTATTCACATCTGAATTTGTCTTTTTTGTATCTGAATGTACATTTTGAGTTTGGACCTGAAAGTCTTGGGGGTTGTAGTCATATTCCTTGTGAACATCCATATATTTTTTTAGAATTTTTAAAACAATTAAAATTGGTGTTTTCAAATTGGAGGATGGGGAGCACTCCAAGGACGAGAGCACCTGATATTTCCCCGCTTGTATGTGTGGTTGTCAATTTTGATGGCCAGCTAATTTTTATTTGGCTATGGTCCGAGCCTAGTTAGCATGGAAAGTTGCTAGTTGTTTTAGTTCAATCAGTTTTCCTCGAATTAACCCAAGTTTGTAATGTTTCCTGCCCCTTTTTATTCATATAAATAAGTCTAATTTCATTCCATGTTGTCGGAAAAAACATGATGTATGTGCTGATTCTACTACAGCCTACCTCAATGTGCGAGGTTGATGATTTTACGACCATATTCATGAGGAAGCATTGCATGTTGCAAACTTTTCCAAATTAACTTTCTATATATTAAGAGAGGTAGAAAACCTAGATTACTGAAAATATTTAGTTTAGAACTATGTTTTGGTGATTTTATCATGTTATGTGCAATATAGATGTACTTACCATCATTCCTCCGTAAGAAACTAAAGTTGGCACTATTGCGTCACCAGGGCCAAAGATGGAGCCAGGACGTATACAACAAGTGAGAAGCTCATCTATTCCATTGGCTCTCATCACCAGTTTTTCGGCTTCTGCCTTGGTTTGTGTGTATGCATCAGGAAACTGATAACAAGAAAACCGCAAGGTTAGCCATACGTACTGTGCCATTTGTATAAAGAGAAGAATGAAGGAAAATATGCTATTGAGAAGCTAATTAAAAACTAGAATCAGTGATATAAACTATAACACTAGTTAAAGATGCAATAGTGGAGGGAGTGACAAGCAATCAACTAAATTAAATTGATTTATTCAATTATGTGGGGCAACCTTATCTGGATATGGTGTTGATTCATCTGCACCAAAGAGGCCATGAACTCCATCGAATACAACTGCACTGGAACTAGTGTATATGAGTGTCTTAACCTTGCATGTGTTACAAGCCTTGATGACATTCTTTGTCCCTGTGCTCGAGATAACAGGAAAAATGAATTAACTTGAATCTACCAGCTGCCTGATGTTCAAAAGATTAATTAAACTGGCGTACCCTCGACGTTGACCTTGTAATGGAGTTGGAAGTTGTTCTTGATCTGATCCGCGGTAGCAGTGTGGAAAACAGTATCTACCCCTTCCAGAGCTGCAGTGCACAAGACACGAATATACTATAACTCTTGTGGTCAGAGCTTAAGCAAAATATTCTTCTAGTCAAGAACAGAGATAGAATAAGGAATCAAGATTGTCTATCCCGCTGGATAGACTCTTTGTCCTAGGGTGGAGAAGACCACATGACATAGATCACATTTAATCATTTCCTCTGCTACCTAAACAAGGAATTGATAGATTCACATCTGTTCATAGCATTTCTTAGCTATTTTTCTTTCTTTTTTGCTTCTCTTTTTAAAACATAACTAACTTGTTATAAATGTAGAAAGCTATCGACGTGAAGAGATCGCACGCCCGAAGAAACCTCCATATCTATTTTTCACGGGGAGGTGATTTCACATCTACGACTCACCCTTCTACCATGGCGGCTGCGGTCGGCGGATGGCCTGCAGGGTGCGCGTGCGCCTCCCCATGAGATGCTGCAGGGCTGGAAAGGTCCGGGGGTCGCGGCTGCAGGCAGCCCGTGAGCAACCGGAGGCCTCGTCGACCTCTCTCCTCAGCAGGTACAGGAGCGTTCAGAGTTACGTGTGTTGGGCCGCCTGGAGACTCGCTGCCATTCGCGCTCCACAAGCATAGTGAAGTGAGCAGAGCCTTGACTAGTTTGGAAGCACACCATGGGGAGCAGTGATGGCGCAGTCGCTGTCCATGAGCTCTACCTCATCGCCACGGGGTGGCCTTGGCTGCTGATATAAAAGGGGCCCTCCTCACGATACTTCACAACAGTTAACTTGTGATCTAGTTTTTCACCATTGGGGCTGCCCGGGTGGATGGATTGGTGCACTGGACCACCGGGAATTAATCCGGGAGCATCTCATGGTGTCCACGTTTGCATCGACGACACAACACACAATATCATCCACGACGGAGAAGCGGATAGTCATGGCGGCAGCGGCCTCCACTGGTCGGGAGGGCCCGTCCTCAATGATCAAGGGGTGCAAATAGCGCATCTACAGGCCCGTCAATGCATTTGCAGGCACGGCGGTGGTGGTCGCATGTCACACTCACTGACGGCACAAAGGGGATTATCACCTGGTGCGAGGGCACCGACCATTACACAAGGAGGCTCAAGGCGCCATCGGCAGAGTCTGGTGCTGATGGGCATGGGGCATGCCGGCGGTTCCCCACCGGCTTCTAGCATCGGGGCACCGGCTCCGACTGTGTGGATGCTGCAGTGTGACTTGCGGTGGTGTGGAGTGGTAAGAACGATTTTCACGCCTTTATTGGTAGGGCTCAGAAGCAAAGAACTTGTAGTGTTATCTTGATGAAACCGTTATTTACTTGATGTTGTATTGGTCTTCACTAACTGATCTTGGTATTTAGGATGAAAATCCATGTACAACATGTCTCTGGTCCAACTTGATGACGATAACACTGGGTCGTTGATCCCTTCTTGAATGCGTTGTTGTGGAAGAAGTAGACTCCGTTATATGTGTTTACTATTTCGTATCCTGTAAATGTTTGTCAGTGGTTGTCTTTGGTCTTAACTCTGCTTAATAATTACCTAGCAAAAAGGGCCATGAGTTGCAACGGGACAATAAAATCGTGGTCTTCAAATTAAGTTCGAATATTCACACTACATGTATATACACGTATTTGAATATTTGTGCATCAACCGGCTCGAATGTTGACGTAAGACATGCATTATAACATGCTCACAATGGATCAATGTTGGACTTGATCCTTGATGCGTGCATCTTTTTGAGTACATCATTGATGCGTGTATGAGAAGGAAAAGAAAAAGTCAGTCTCACGATGGATGAAAACAGAAGGGCCCTTTGGCGTACCAATACTTCGGAGGAACACTCATTTTTTTTCACTTTTACGGTGGCGAGGTGGGTAATTTACATCAAATTTAGGAGCAGTTTTGACGAGAGATGAAAAATTCAAAGAAAAAATTAACGAATAATTTTTTTTACTTACGGGTGATGGGGTGGTAATGTAGTTTCAATGATTGGCGAAAAAATAAAAGAAACAATTAACAAAGAGTTTCTTTTGTACTTATGGGTGGCATGGTGAATAATTTATTTCCACTTTATAGGCAACTTAGGGTAGGCGGACAGACCGGAAATCAGAGAAAGGCACCATCCTTTAATATTAGGTATAGATAAGAATTGTCGTGTGCATCGCAATGATGCAAAGGCCAAAGAAAAAGAAAGAAACTACCGGCGTACATGATACATGATGAAGTCCAAGAAAAATACTGATGAAATACCGTGTGTACATTTGCTAATTTTTTGTATGGGGGCAAAAATATTATTGGAACTCAATTGTGTTTGGAAGCCATGAACTCACAAAATGTTTAGTTGAAGTTAAAAAAACTAAAGAAGGAATACTTTCGGACAAAATAATAGGAGTACATACCTACCTACCCTAAAAAATGTCTTATAAAAGAATAATAGACTTGACTATCGTAGCGGCACCAACATGTAGGATTTCCCATGCGGCGGCTTCCCTCCTCTCTCTCTGATGCATGCATGTATGCATGCAAAACACATGACATCAATAGATATTCTTCTAATTTAAATTTTTAAAAAGTTTTATCTCTCAAACCGTGAAGTCAATTGATGATCCACTTTCACCGTTAGTTTTCTCACACGAGATCTTAAAAACTAGATCTCCTGTCAATATGTTTTGGCAACTTTTTTCCGAAGATAGTTGCCTGATTACTATCACTTAGTTGTTAGATTATGATACACTCAATTGTCAGATTAAATTAACTTGATTGCCATATTGCTGAGCTTCAATAGATACTAGTAGAAAACTTGGTCGATGGTATTTCTGTGGCTTAATGCCTATTTTGTCCTATTGTTAACACTTAGAAATTCACTCTATACCTCTTTTTTACCAAACACTCTATACCTTTCATAAACGTTACAACATCTAAAAACATACATACCTATTATCCGGTAACAACACTTAATTATTGCAGCAACTGTTCACAATTAGCATTCGCAACTATGTTGACATATTCTGGCAACTAGAGGCGATATTTTTTTTTGAGAAAACATGATAACATGGGATCTTGTTTTGAAGCGGCTCGTCGAGACGAGCTCGCCGGTGAAAACGGATCACCAATCAGATTAACGGTTAGTTAGACAAAACATTTTTAAAAACTGAAAAAAGCAATTAGTACAATGATGTTAGTATGATGTGTAAGATTCATGCATGCACGCATGGATTCTCTCTATATCAAAATTCCATTGGGATGCCGCCGCACCGGACGACACTCATGCGCACTATGTACTTTATACTTTCCTAAGAATAATAGAAGTACCTTGTGTGAGCTGGGCCAATTGGCACACGTCGACAGAGATGTAGGCGGCGCGGCCGTCACGGAGGGCGGCGCCAAGGAGCCCATCATCCTCGTCGGGCTCCATGGTGACATTGGGGGCTAGGTCGGTGATCCGCACGCGCCAATCTCCGGAGCGGAGCAGCGCCGCGACCAGGTGCCTCGCCATGAATCCCCGGCCGCCGGTCACCGCGCACAACCGACGTGCTTCCTGGCCGACCGGGGAAGGATCCATGCGTGCGCGTGCTAGCAAGTACTTACTGTACGTACGTATTAGTACAATCCAGCTGCTAGCTTGATAGCTACTATATACGGATGTGTAGGATTTTAGTAGTCGCTCGATCCTTTGGGTTGCCCTGAAGAAAACTATGACTGATCAAGGAGACCGACGACGATGAAGGAAATGCTAAAACGACTGGCATATTAGTAGCGTGTGTTTCTCGGCAGGAGTAAGTGACCGATTGGCCGTTAGGTGGAAAACATAATGTCATGGCAGACCTATCTGACTCTGCATTGCTGTATTAGTGACCTTGTAAAATACCAAATATACTATAGGAAAATTAATTAATGGTAGGTCGATCGGATTTGAGGCAGCCATGCATGGTGCGCCGCACAAAATAGTACTCCCTCTGTACCTAAATATATTTTGTACAGAGAGAGTAATAATAAGCACATGGGCTGCTTATATGCCCGACAAAGTATATAAATGCAATAATTAATATTTTCGGTGTGTCCTGATGAGCTGCAGGACAAGTCATGGGCGGATTGATGGGTGCAGGCCGGTATTAATTTTCCTTGGTGATCAATGAAACAGCTGTCGGTAGGAGATTTGTTCCTGTTGGGTTGAGTGGCGGGTGATCTTTATGTCGTCTCTGTTGGTTTCCTGCGTGTGGCAAGGTACCTATAATTAGAGTTAGATAATTATTGACCCATCTTAAAAATAATTAAAATAATAATGCCCACACGTGTGACAGTTATCAACATGCCCACATGCACTCGATGTCGTTTGATCCACATGCATAATTTTTGAAGCAGTTGCCATCTGGGTGAAGAGTCATATAAGCACCCACACGTGTGGGTCCTCCTCGCCCGAACGGACATAGGAACGCTTCCCTGAACGTGTGGGCGAAACAGCTCTTCGTCCACATGACGCTCACACGGTGATAGATGGCAACTACAGGTGTGCATACGTGACAATTAGTTACGGCAACTACGGTTGACCATACATGCACTAGTAGAAAAGGAGGCAAAGGTTCAGGCCGGGTAAGCCCATTAGTCTCGGTTCAGTCTAGAACCGGGATCAATGGGTGCATTGGACTCGGTTCGTGAGCCTAGGGGGCCGGCCGGGCCACGTGGGCCATTGGTCCCGGTTCGTCTGGACCTTTTGGTCCCAGTTTGTGAGACGAACCGGGACCAATGGTCCTGGCTCCTGGCCCACCACCATTGGCCCCGGTTGGAGGCATGAACCGGGACCAAAGGCCCCCCTTTAGTCCCGGTTCATGCCACCAACCGGGTCCAATGGTGGTGCCTATATGTACCCCCTCGCGCAAGAGCAGAGCACACTGCTCTGTTTTTTCTGGCCGAGGGGGAGAGGGCTTGGTGGTGCTCTAGCTCACCTCCTATGCACACAAGGTGTTCGATGGAATGCCCGAGCCACACTACTTAAGCTTTCTCCTCTCCAAGCTCGACCTCCAAGCTCCATTTTCCTTAATATTTGTCTAGGTTTAGCGGTCCGTCACGCCCCGCCCCCGTCTTCACCGCCGTCGATCACCCGCGCCGATCTCATCACCGGCACCACCGTGGTGAGCCTCTTGTTCTTATCTTCTTTCTGAAAGGAAAAATATTCTTATTTGTATGTTTAGATAGATACTTGCACTACTAAGGAAAAACCTAGCAGCAGCGAGGGTTTTGGGCCTCTCAGTAGCGCGGGTACCGGCGCTACTAATAAGGCGCTACAGCTAACGTATAGCAGTAGCGCCTGTTGTCCCACGCTACTGCTATACATGAATAGCTGTAGCGCTCTTTGTGAAAGGGCGATATTGATATTATCTGCAGCGCTGTTTGCTGGGACGCGCTACTGACAATGCGGCGCTACTGCTAAATTTCCCCCCTCGCTACTACTAGTTTATTTATTAGTTTTTTTCTGCATATTTGTTTTGTATTTGAATAGGCTTTATACAATAATCTTTAGCATATCATACACATACAAATGTAATCATAGCATATACATACAATTAGTCTCATCAAATCATGTCATCATCATAATCATCATCCAACACAAAGTGGTCTCTCGTCATCATCTCGAAAATAGCGATACAAGTCTTGAATGATATGCAAATACATCATCATCCATCTAAACAATGATATACGCGAGAAGAGCTATCACTTTGAGAACATGAGTTCGTATCCCTCTCTCGCATTAGCGTGAACCTAAACTAACTATTGCCTGTCGCTCGGAAACCAGAAACCGGTACATCTGGGCCTGACACTCCGGCCACTTGTCGTATATATACTCCTGGCGTAGCACTTCTTCGCCATCTATGATCTATGCACCTGCATCATCACATGAATCGATGATATGCAACATATATAGTTGAGCAACAGAAAGAGACAGACTTGGCAAAAATAGAAACAACATATCATAATTTGCGTTGTAACCATGGAAAATCTTCATCATTTAACGGGATGCTCGGGTCAATATTCACTGTGAATGGAGCAATTTCAACAAACTTTTCATAATCTTCTGACATGTCTGTCTTGTCATCCACTCCCACGATGTTTCTCTTCCCAGAAAGAACTATGTGCCGCTTTGGCTCATCGTACGATGCATTCGCTTCCTTATCTTTTCTTTTTCTTGGCTTGGTAGACATGTCCTTCACATAGAAAACTTGTGCCACATCATTGGTTAGGACGAATGGTTCGTCTGCATACGCAAGATTGTTGAGATCCACTGTTATCATTCCGTACTGCGGGTCTTCCGTTACCCCGCCTCGTGTCATATTGACCCATTTGCACCAAAACAAAGGGACCTTCAAACCACATCGATAGTCAAGTTCCCATATGTCATGTATATAACCATAATATGTTTCCTTTCCCGTCTTGGTTTCTGCATCAAAGCGGACACCATTGTTTTGGTTGGTGCTCTTCTTATCTTGGGCGATCGTGTAAAATGTATTATCATTTATCTCGTACCCTTTGAAAGTCATATTCGAAGATGGTAACTGGGACAACAAGTACAGGTCATCTTCAATAGAGGCGTCATGCATGGTACATATCTGCAACCAGCTGGCGAAACTCCTGGTTTGTTCACGTGTAACCCAGTCATCAGACCGCTCCGGGTGTTTGGAGCATAGCAAATTCTTGTGTTCATCCATATACGGAGCCATCAAGGCGGAATTCTGTAGAACTGTGTAGTGTGCTTTAGTGAGAGAATGTTCGTCCATACATATTATTTGTTCCCCTCCTAGCGTGCCTTTTCCATCCAGTCTGCCCTTATGCCGCGATTCAGGAACACCAATCGGCTTAAGGTCAGGAATAAAGTCAATACAAAACTCAACGACCTCCTCATTTTCATGGCCCTTGGAGATGCTTCCTTCTGACCTAGCACGGTTATGAACATATTTCTTTAAGACTTCCATGAACCTCTCAAAGGGGAACATATTGTGTAGAAATACAGGACCCAAAATGTTAATCTCTTCGCATAGGTGAAGTAGGACGTGTGCCATGATGTTGAAGAAGGATGGTGGGAACACCAACTCGAAACTGACAAGACATTGCACCAAATTATTCTCTAACCTTGATATGATTTCTGGATCGATTACCTTCTGAGAGATTGCATTGAGAAATGCACATAGCTTCACAATGGCTAATCGAACGTTTTCCGGTAGAAGCCTCCTCAATGCAACCGGAAGCAGTTGCATCATAATCATGTGGCAGTCATGAGATTTTAGGTTCTAGAACTTTTTCTCTGCCATGCTTATTATTCCCTTTATATTCGACGAGAAGCCAGACGGTACCTTAATACTGAGCAGACATTCAAAGAAGATTTCCTTTTCTTCTTTGGTAAGAGTGTAGCTTGCATGACCCTGATGTATGTCGTCTTTTCCGTGCATACGTTGCTGGTCCTCTCGTACCTCAGGTGTATCTTTTGTCTTCCCATACACGCCCAAGAAGCCAACCAGGGTCACACAAAGATTCTTCGTCACGTGCATCACGTCGATTGCAGAGTGGACCTCTAGGTATTTCCAATAGGGCAGGTCCCAAAATATAGATTTCTTCTTCCACATGGGTGCGCGTCCGTCAGCGTCATTCGGAACAGGTTGTCCACCAGGACCCTTTCCAAAGACCACCTTCAAATCCTTGACCATATCATGTACATCAGCACCAGTACGGTGGCGAGCCTTCGTCCGGTGATCCACCTCACCTTTGAAATGCTTGCCTTTCTTTCTTACGGGATGCCTGCTCGGAAGAAATCGACGATGTCCCAGGTACACGTTCTTCTTACAATTATCCAAATATATATTGTCGGTATCGTCCAAACAGTGCATGCATGCGCGGTATCCCTTGTTTGTCTGTCCTAAAAGGTTACTGAGAGCAGGCCAATCATTGATGGTCATGAACAGCAACGCCTTTAGGTCAAATTCTTCCCCCATGTGCTCATCCCACGCACGTACACCTGTTTCATTCCACAGTTGTAAGAGTTCTTCAACTAATGGCCTTAGGTACACATCAATGTCGTTGCCGGATTGCTTAGGGCCTTGGATGAGCACTGGCATCATAATGAACTTTCGCTTCATGCACAACCAAGGAGGAAGGTTACACAAACATAGAGTCACAGGCCAGGTGCTATGGTTGCTGCTCTTCTCCCCAAAAGGATTAATGCCATCTGCGCTTAGACCAAACCATACGTTCCTTGCGTCATATGCAAACTCCTTCCCATACTTTCTTTCGATTTTTCTCCACTGCGACCCGTCAGCGGGTACTCTCAACTTTCCGTCTTTCTTACGGTCTTCTTTGTGCCATCGCATCGCCTTGGCATGCTCTTTGTTTTGGAACAAACGTTTCAACCGTGGTATTATAGGAGCATACCACATCACCTTGGCAGGAATCTTCTTCCTGGGGCGCTCGCCCTCGACATCACCAGGGTCATCGCGGCTGATCTTATAGCACAATGCACCGCATACCGGGCAAGCGTTCAAATCCTCGTACTCACCGCGGTAGAGGATGCAATCATTA